CTCCCCTTCCCTCCCCTTCCCTCCCCTTCCCTCCCCTTCCCTCCCCTCCCCTCTCCTCCCTTCCCTTCCCTTCCTTCAAGGCAGAATCTCACTCTGTCACCCAGGCTGGAGTGCAGTGGCGCAGTCTCTGTTCACTGCAACCTCTGCCTCCTGGGTTTGAGCAATTCTCTGCCTCAGCCTCCTGTGTAGCTGGGATGACAGGCTCACGCCACCATGCCTGGCTAATTTCTGTCTTTTTAGTAGAGACAGGGTTTCACCATGTTGGCCAGGCTGGTCTCGAACTCCTGACCTCAGGTGATCCATCCGCCTTGGCCTCCCAAAGTGTTGGGATTACAGGCGTGAGCCATCATGCCCAAGTGGTTCCGATGAGGGTTTCTGGGTGGAGCTTGGGACAGCTGCTCTGACCCTTCGATGGGGGCTGCTGTGGTCTCTGCCGCTCTGGGCACTGGTGGGGCTCCAGAAACTGACCACTTCCGTGGATTTGGAAAGCTCGGGGCGCCATCTCTCCTGTGCTGTGCAACCCTCTGGCTCTGGCTGGCTTGTGTGGCTATCCCTCACCCCTCCACAGCCACCTTCAGGGACGTGGCCCTGTGCTCACTCGCAGGCCTGCTTGGTGCCCCTGCCCACCTCCGCCCTCCACTGAGTCAGCACGCGCTGCTGAATGACCCCCCATGGCCGCCCAGCGCTGGGACCTGGGCCTTCTAGATGTGAGAGGAGACTCATGGGAGGGCTGCGCCCCTGGGCCAGCTACCTCAATGCAGGGAAGGACCAGGGAGGGGATGGGTCATGGGAGGGAGGGGAGCCCAGGGTGGCTGAGGTGGTGTCTGAAGGGGAGGTCGAGGGAGAGGCTGAGGTCCAGCCCCTTGCGGCAGCTCTGTGCCCAGCAGACGGACTGTCCAGCCACAAGCCACAGATGGGCTCCTTCACTAGCCAGTGTGTCCCACAAGGGAAGGGCCCACCAGGAGAAGGGCCCAGGAGGGTGTGGGCGAAGGTGGCAGAGGGGAGTGGACTGCTGCCAGGCAGGCACCAGAGGGAGCCTGGGAGACAGGTGCCATGGCGACCCGCAGTCCTGAGGGCGGGCGCCGGCTGCTCTGGGGGGTGGGGCCTGCTGAGTGCCATGTGAGTCCTGCCTGTGTTCCTGCCGTTTGGACGTGAGAATGCAGGGGGGCTTACGCAGTGTGCGGGCTGTCCTCACACGCATGTACACGTATGCACACGCCCATACACCCTGGAAACCTGGCCCGGGACAACTGCATGGCCGGAGCACGGCCCCACCTGTCGGGTCTTCTCCACTCGTGGCAGAGCTGGTTTCCTGCCCCAGTGACCTGGGTATTGCTTTGCTGGCTGCCTCTGCCCCGCCATCCCTACAGCCCTGTCTGGTCCTCCCTCCAAGCCACCCCGGGTCCCTCTTCCCTGTGTGTGGGTATGGGAACAACTTGGAGACCTGCACAGGAAGCCCAGGCTGCATTCACCATCTTAGCTCACACCACCTCCAGGCAGCCTTCCTGGATGCCCCAGTAGCCTGCAGCCCTGGCAGAGCACACTGGGTCAGCTGGGCCGCCTTGGGCAGCCAGGTCCCCGTGCACCCTGTTTCCTGGCTTGTCCAGTGGGGTAGGAATGACCACCCCTGGGGGTGTGCTGGGCCAGGTGATGGGGTCTGGAGGGGTATTGGGAACTGAGAAGTTGCAGGTGCTCAGTGGCAAGAGACACTTGGGGTGGCTGGAAAACCTCCAGGGCCAAGTGGAGGACAGCTGGACAGACAGCTCTTGGGGAAGGGCACGGACTGGAGCTGGACGGGGGGCGGGCAGGGCAGGCTTAGGGGATGGAGCCACCAGCTCAGTGTGCCCTCCCCTGTCCGGGGGACAGGCAGGCTGGCCCCCACCATGCCACCCTGTGGGCAGTAGAGGGAGCGAGCTTCCTCGCAGCCTGGCTCAGCGCGGGTGTCCTAATTTGGAAGTGGGGCTTGGCTCAACACGTGGGCACTGGGGGCGTGCTGTGCTGTCAGTCTCCCTCGGGGATGAGGAGCTCTGTGGACCAGCAGCTGCAGAAGAGGGTTCCCCCAAGGTCCTCAGGACAGAAACAGCACCAGAGCGGCGTGGCGGTGGGTTTGGCAAGGGGATGGCTTGGAGGCACCAGGTGGCATGTGGAGCCCTGCTGCCCGCCACAGGCAGTACCACCACCTCAGGGACAGCAGGGTCCCCGCCCCTCAGAGGCTGGAAGGGCCTTTGGCTTCCACTGTTCAGAGTCCGGCCCATGGCCAGCGCCAGCACTGTGGTCTCCCGTGTCTGACAGAGAGTCCATGTCCCCCTCCCAGCCCCAGAGGAGCAATGTGGGGCGACCAGGATTTGGGAGGGAGATGGGGTCCCCTGCAGTCCTGATCTCTCAGAGGGGTGTCCATGACCCCAGAATTGGGAGCTGGGCACTCTGCCAACCCCATATCCCACTGGTGAGGCCAGAGCAGCGTCCAGTGTCCAGAGGACGGCAGGCTCTGGCCACCCACGGGCCACACTGGGGTGAAGGGTCAGGGTGCTGAGGCCCAGCCCGTGCTGCAGCAAATCCAGGCCGGGCTGCAGAGCGCGGAGCAGGGCCGCCCTCACCGCGCTGCTGTCCCGCAGACGGCGCCCCGCTCAGCGAGCTGTCCTGGCCGTCCTCCCTCGCCGTGGTGGCTGTGTCTTTCTCCGGGCTCTTTGCTGTCATCGTCCTCATGCTGGCCTGCCTGTGCTGTAAGAAGGGCGGCATCGGGTTCAAGGTGAGGCCTGGGGGCCGTGGGAGCTGGCGGGGGATCTCGTAGCGTCCACCCGACCCTGAGCTTCCCTCCCTCCCGGGGCCACCAAGGTGGCTGCTGGGTGACCGTAGTCACTGTGGGGCCGCCTGGGGACCACATGGACCCTGGCCTAGGAACCCCACAGACCCTCTTCAGGGACCTGCCCCAGCTTCTCCGACTCTGAGGCCCTCTGTGAGGGTGGCCTGAGGCTCCCCCGAAGCCTGGGGTTGGGCCTGTGAGCACGCGCAGAGGCTGAGGATGGCCTTGCTGGGGCGTCGGGCTCTGGAGCTGGTGTGGGAGGGGCTGGTCTCCCTAGAGGCCCCTGGCTCCTGGTGGGGGGGTTGCCCCTGCAGGGCCCTCACCTCCCTGCTGACGTAATCCACAAAGGGGAGCCCAGGCTGCCCAGACAAGCTTCCCGGTACGGAGATCACCTCACCACTTAGAGTCACCTTGCCCAGGGCATCTTGTGCCCTCTGGAGGGACACTGTGGGCTGCTGGAGCCCAGCCTACTGGTTAGGGAGCTTTGCCAAGTGCACAGCCTGGCCTCACAAGGCTGCCCCTCTGGAGGCTGAGGCTCAGGGCCAAGGCCCCCACCAGGGACATGTGCCAAACACTGCCCCCCACCCACAGACCCCACCCCACCTCCAGCGGTAAGTCTGAGTAGCAGGGAGGGCCAGGCGGAAAAGCTCTGTGCTAAGAACCCAGCCAGCACCGCCCACCCTGCCCGGAGCCTCCACGGGTCCCATTCCTGCTGATGAGCAAACGACCGCAGCCTGGACCTCTGGTTGCCCACATGCCCACGGGGGTCAGCCCCACCCCTGGGCCAAGGTCAGATTCCCACTCAAGGAGAGGTCAGGGCGGGGGGAGGCGTTTGCAGTACGCACAGCGCTTCCACTGTCCGTATTTCAGGGGCGCCTTCCCACTAGGTGACCCGTGTCCCAGCCACGTCACCCCCATTTTAGAGACAGTCGGAGTCCTTCCTGTCCTGGTATGTCATGACACAGAGTGGGCCAGGGGAGCTGGCCCTGCCCACTACCCGGGCAGGTGAGGCTGCTGAACTCGGCCTCTGCCTTTTCCAAAGCCCACATTTGTGGCCCGTTCGCCCTTCCAGAGCCCTCTGAGGTGCCCAGGCCCCGTCAACCAGTGAGGAGCTGTGTGCCTGGGTGGCAAAGCTGTGGCCCCAGGAGCTACGGGGCCTGCGCTCCTGCCCAGAGCCCCACTCTGCCCTGGGGACGTGCCCCTGACCCGCTGGCACCAGGGTCTGGGCCAGGCAGCACTGGCGCCTTCCTGGGATCCTGAGACCAGAGCCTCCAGGTCTGGGGGGGCAGGAGTGCAGGCGGCCTGGGAGGGTCGTGTGGGGCTATTGTGTAAGCGGCCCCTCCTCGGGAGCTGCGAGAACAAGGCGCCACACAAGCGCTGGACACGGCCCCTCCTCCGGCGCCCTCTCACCTCCTTCGGAACATGGTGCCCGGAACATTCCAGCACCAGCGTGCCCCCGGGAAGGCCTGCCTCCACACTGGGCTCCCTCCTGGGCTCTAGGGGGCTGTGCCGGGCTCCCTGGTGGGGATCCCCAATGCTGACCCTGTGCTACCTGATTGCACGCTGCGTCGGCAGGACCCGGGTGGCCCCCGGGCAGCAGGTAATGCCTGGAGCCAGGGCCTGACCCCAGGGAGAGACGGCGTCTGTGTCCTGGGTCCCTCCACAGAGCCCAGATGGGTGGGGGCAGGCTGGGGCTGGGATCGGAGGGCCAAAACGGGGCCTCCTAGGGTGGTGTCCTGGGTCCTGGGAAGGGAGAGTTGCCCACAGAGTAGCTTCATCCTCCATCCCCGAGTGGCTGTGTGCTTGAGAGCACAGGCTGGGCCCAGCCCCTCGGGACACTGATAGAGCTGCCCACCCCTCTCCCTGCAGCCCAGGGAGGGACGATGTCCCCAGGGTCCCAGTAGTGTGTGAGGAGCTGCGGCCTCCCTCCCTCTGAACCTGCCAGTCCTCGGACTCCCCAGTCCGGGGGGTGGCCAGGCTCCATCGGGAAGCCCCTTGACCCCTCTGAGCCTCAGTTTCCCCACAGTGGGGGTTGTGGGGAGGAGCAGAGAGGCTGTACCGAGTGCTCAGGGACGGGACTGTCCCTGCGTGCAGGGAGCCATTGTTTTTAGTTGCACCCAGGACTTCAGAGAGTTTGGCTCTCAGCAGAGGAATGTGCTTTGGACTTAGGGGTGGGGTCTCCCTAGACAGGTGCAGCCTCTGCATTTCAAAATAGCAGCCTGGCAGGGATGGCCCAGCCCTAGGCTGCACAGAGACAGGCTCTTAAGGAGGCCTGGGGGCTTGGGAGGTGGTGCGGCCGCCAGGGCGGATGGTGCTGGCAGGTGGGCTGCCCAGGGTGAAGGTGGCTGGTGGGCTTTTGGCTCCCAGGCACCCAGGAATGCTCCTTTTCCTAGCAGGGGTGGGGGCACTTGGTGGCTTCTCCTGGCTTCTCCCACAGGACTATGGGGCAGGGGGTGCTGGAGCTCCTGTCCTGAAGCTGCCCCATGGGAGGGTGGGGCCCAAGGCAGGGCCTGGAGTGAGGTGTTGCTGGGGACGAGGGTGGGAGAGAGGGGTTGGGGGCTGATTCTGGACGGGCAAGGCCAGCTAACCCCATCCTCTCATCTCTGTCTCTTGGTTCCCTGCCCGTAGGCCCTTGGGCCTCAAGGTGGGGCTCAGCCTGGGCTGCCCACCAGGGAGGGATGGAGAAACTGAGGCCAGCCGAAGCGCTCGTGCCTACAGCTCGTCGCGCCCTTTCTGGAGTCTGAGTTGGGTCCTCTGGGCTCTGGGATCTGCCCCTGGCACCTCATGGGATAGCTGTGCCCCTGGTGGGGGGTGTGGGGGTCAGCGAGGGGAGACAGAGGGGAGGGCAGTTAGCAGGAGTGCTGGCCCGTTGGCTCACAGGGGTGGGGGGCTCCACCTCTGGGCTGAGCACCGGTCCTGCACCGCCCTGGGAGCTCAGCCCTGGAAGAAAGGGACCTTTCCAAGCCCAGCCACACCCTTCCTTGGCCTTCGGGAAGCCCGGCTCATGCTGCCTGGCCCGGCCTGCAGGAGTTTGAGAATGCGGAGGGGGACGAGTATTCGGCCGACCTGGCACAGGGCTCCCCGGCCACCACGGCACAGAACGGGCCTGACGTGTACGTCCTGCCACTCACGGAGGTGTCCCTGCCCATGGCCAAGCAGCCGGGCCGCTCAGGTGAGTGCCAGGTGGGGAGACGGGGTGCCTCCCTTCGGGGCCCAGGTGCTGGGTGTTGGGTGTGACCCGGGGGAGCCAGGGTGGTCCAAGGACTCGGCTCTGGAGTGGGGGCAGCACAGGGCTTGCGGTGGTGTGTAGGGGTGGACTAGGTGCCCAGCCCTGGATTCCCCATGCTGCGTCCCAGGCTGTCCCATGGGGCCAAAGGTGCATGTACCTCTTTCTCCTGGGCCTGGGGGGCAGCTGGGGGTTGGCAGGGTCCGGGACAGCCTTCAGCCTCCTGTGCCCGAGGGGCTGCTGTGCACAGGGGCAGTGGTGGGCACTGGGGCAGGAGTGCAGGCTCTCTGGTCCTGGACATGGCCCTGTGCTGGGGGGAGGGGCTCTTCTGCAGTCTGGGGATGCTTGACCCCAGATTCCTGCCCCCTTGATTGCCAGCCCTTAGGGACACGGGCCCCATTGTGCCTGGTGGGAGGAGGGGAATTGGTGGGGTCCCCGCGGGCGGGCAGTGAATGGGCCTTTCACTCAGGCTGGAGGAGGGGCAGAGGGGTGGGGCTGACCCCGGACTGCAGGTACAGGTGGCGCCTCTGCCACACCCCCATCTGCCCCCATCTGCCCCCATCCTAGGATCCCGGGCTGACCACTCGCACAGAGCAGATGTACTGGGGAGGCTGCTGGCGAACCAGGCTTCAGGAACCCCCAGTTCTGTCCTGGAGCCTGGGTGGTGGGCGGGGGTCCCTCCAGAGCCATCGGATCTCAGGACCCCTCCCACAAAGCTTCTAGCCTGGGGCCTCACCCTCACTTCCCCGCCAGCTCTTCTGGGTACGCGGAGGCAGGAGGGGTGTCAGGCCAGTGGGAGGGGCCCCTGCTGGCCCCACTGGGGCTCTGCTAGCACCAGGGCCTGCTGCCGTGGAGCCACTCAGCCACCTCACCTGCTCTGAGCTGTGCCTGGCTGGGCCCTGAGAGCCTGGACTTCACTGGGGGCTGAGTGGCCCAAGGCACTGATCTGAAACCTAGAGAGGGCCCCAGCTTCAGGCCCAGGGCCTCCACACCCATCCTGCTCTGCCCCGTCTCCTGGAGGGCAGGTTTCCCAGTTAGGCAGGAACTGGGGCCGGCACTTGTGGCCTAGCACATCTGTGGCTGGGCGCAGAGACCTGCAGCCACCCACTCAGCGAATGAGGCCCTCTGCCCTTCCCGCGTGGCTGTGGGGGTCCCCGAGCTCTGCGCTGCTCCTGCTGGGAGCTGCCATGGACCACCCAAGGGGGTACTGCCCTTGGGTCCAGGGGCAGGTATGTGCCTGGCCCTGAAGACTCTCAGATCCACCTCTGGAGGACTGTTCCTGGGACCGGGGTCGGGGGACAGGGACCCAGAAGAGGACAGTGGCTGTTTCTCCACTTTGGCAGCTCTGGTCTCAGTTTTCTGGGGGCATGTGCTTCTATGAAGGGGAGCCCCACGGTCGTGGGGGAGAAGACTGGGCGGTGGCCCCAGCCTCTGGGGACTACAGAGAAGGACGGCCGTCCCCTGCCTCCTGCGGTGCCAGGGCCTCTGTCTCAGCACCCATGGTCAGGGGTCCCTCAGCACACTTGCTCAGGGACGGTGAGGGCCTGGGCGCCCCAGGGTGAGAGGGTGTCCAGACAGGCTGGGCAGAGGATGCAGTGCCCGGTGGGCCCACAGCCTTGGTTATACCCTGTACCGCCTCCACGTTTTCTGGGTCACTGGGCCTGGAAGGAGCCCCCTTCCCTGGGTTCTCCTGGGAGCTGGGCTCAGACATAGCCCCGTCAGCCCTTCGGGCTGTTGGCGTGGGAACAGAATTCGGGGAATCCCTCGGGGCGTAGGCGGGCGTGCGTGGGCTCTGCCAGCGCTGGCCCCTTCCTCCCGGGCCTCACTGACCCTTCCTCCCGCTGACCTCACCCGGCCTGGCCTTGGGGAGAATGGGCCAGTGTGCTCCGTGCGGGGCTGTGCCAAGCAGCCCCCAACAAAGGAGCCTTTGGTGTGCCAGGCGTGGGATGCCAGCCTGTGGCAGGGTGGGGCGGGCCAAGCAAGTGCCCTTCCTGTGCTGTGGCCCCAGCCTCCAGCTCAGCCACACTGCCTGCCCGCCGCAGCCCCTGCGGTGGGCCCACCTCCACCTGCTGTCTCTTCTGTCCCTGGCTCGGATCTCCTGGTGGCTTCAGGCACCTTCTCCAGACCTACCCAGAAAGATGCCCGGATGGAGGCTGCAGCTCTGTGGCTTTTCTGGGAAGCAGCTGCCCCTGCTCTCAAGAGACCCCGGCTCCTGATGGTGACCCCAAGGTTGCCAACTGGCACTGGGGACTCAGGACAGCTCGCCAGGACCGGCCAAGCGGGCAGTCCCTCCAGGGGCCGGGTGAGGAAGTTGGGGGTGCGGAGGCTGCGCGGGGTCCCTGAGCCCTTGCTTGGTTACAGTGCAGCTCCTCAAGTCCGCGGACCTGGGCCGGCACAGCCTCCTGTACCTGAAGGAAATCGGCCACGGTTGGTTTGGGAAGGTGCGTGGCCCAGCCGGGAGCTGGTGCTCCAGCCTGGCAGGCGGGAGGGACACGGTACAGGCCCTGGGCCCTGCTGGACCCCTCCCCACGGAGGTCTTCAGGGTCTGGCTGAATCCCTTTCTCCCTAGGGGGTCCTGGGGTCAGAGGTGCCTGGGTAGGGGCTCTGGGAGGGAGAGGAGCAGCCTCTTGGTCTGGCCTCCCCGACGCCGGCCTAAACGAGACAGCTGGGTCCCTCTTCCTCACTTCAGACCCCCAGAGAGAGAGGGCAGTGGGGGACTTTGGGGGAAGATGAGCAAGGAGATTCAGAATATGGCAGCCAGAGGGGTCACGGGGAGAGTCCAGAACCCACGGCCCGCGCAGCAGTGAGTGGAGTGGCGGAGGAGGAGGGGCCGTCCTGCAGGCTGGCCGGGGCGGGCGGGAGAAGAGTAAGGCCTGGAAGCTGGGTTTGCAGAGGTAGAGTGGCCACGAGTGACTGTCCCGCAGGTGTTCCTGGGGGAGGTGAACTCGGGTGTCAGCAGCACCCAGGTGGTGGTGAAAGAGCTGCAGGCCAGCGCCAGCGTGCAGGAGCAGATGCAGTTCCTGGAAGAGGCGCAGCCCTACAGGTGGGAGGCCAGCTGTCACAAAGGCCCCGCAGTCCAACGGTCCCCCCCTGCCCCTTCCCTGTACAGCCGCCTCCCCCTCCCCCCACTCCCCAGTCAGGGGCTGCCTGTCCACTCCCACAGGGCCCTGAAGCACATCAACCTGCTCCAGTGCCTGGCCCAGTGTGCCGAGGTGACGCCCTACCTGCTGGTGATGGAGTTCTGCCCGCTGGTGAGCCGCTGCTGGGGGAATGCTGCGGCCTTTGCTGAGCCGGGTTCCTCCCTTGCCCTGCCAGCGTCTGGTGCCACCCTGTCCCCAGGGGCCTCACATCCTCCCTAAAGCCAAGACCCCGGGATCCTGCGCCACCGCCTTCCAGAGGAGGCCTGGGGGAGACCCAGCCTCACCAGGGAGGGGCTGTGGGGGCTGGGCACAGGACGGGCCTGGGCTGGGGCTCTCTGTGCCCCTGGGGAGCTGCCAGCTGCTTGCCCATGTGCCCTGTGGTACAGAAAGAGCCCTCCCAGGCCAGTTGGGGGGCCACCAGCCCACCTGGGCTTGTGTTTGTCACAGGGGCTGGGGCCGGCCACTTTCCCACGCTGCCTAGAGGCCTGGGCCTGCACATTACCCCCCAACTCACCTCCCACCCCTCGCACATACATAGCTCCCGTGCTGAGCGAAGGCTGCCCTCAGCTGGGCTGGGTCCCGGCTGGCTTCCCCCGCGACGGGGGCCCTCCCACACTGGCGTCTGGGCTCCTGACGTCAGCCCTCCCAGGAGCTGGGCTTTCGGCAGGCCAGGGGCTGCTGGCCAACCCTCAGCCACCAGCCCCAGGCTCTGCCAGGCACAGCATCTTGGGCCCTGCATTTCTGTAGCACAGGGCAAGGCACTCCTGCTGCCCAGAGCGGGCTGAGGGGCAGTGTAAAGGAAGCCTTCGGCGAGGGTGCCGGCCACAGGGGGTGCAGGGCACGGGGGTGCCGGCCACAGCGGGTGCAGGGCACGGGGGTGCTCTGGGCAGCTGCTGTGGGTGGGGGTGGAGGAGTTGGGGAGGTAGGCAGGGACCCTCCAGGGTGGCCAGTCCCCACCCTGCTGGTGACTCTGCCGCACACCCTCTCTGCAGGGGGACCTCAAGGGCTACTTGAGGAGCTGCCGGGTGGCGGAGTCCATGGCGCCTGACCCCCTGACCCTGCAGCGCATGGCCTGCGAGGTGGCCTGCGGTGTCCTGCACCTGCATCGCAACAACTGTGTGCACAGGTGAGGGCGGGCGGGCCGCGCTGGGAAGCCCAAGGCCAGGCCCCTCCCTGTGCCTCGGCCCCTCTCTGGAAGGGAGGGCAGAGGGGCGGGTCCTGCCTCATGGATGTTGCGGGGACTGGCCAGGTCCATCTTATGCAGCTTCAAACGACCACTATGCAGGGGGATTTTATGACATTTTGAATAATTGGGGAGACGATGGTTTGACACCCACTTTGCAGATGTAGATGAAAAAACGGTACTGTCAAGCTGGCCTGTCCTCTGTCCCCGAGGCAGTCAGCCACCACCCTGTGGCCCCACACCAACCCCACGCTCTCCCCCTCGGGCCCCAAAGAGAGGGTTTAGCAGGCCCGGCGTGGGAGGGAGGGCTCTGTCCTGCTCGGGCCGGGATGTCTGTCCTGCTCGGGCCGGGATGCCTGGCCCCTGGGGACCCTGGGGGACATGCTGGAAGAAGTGGCGAAGGACACGTGGCCCCGCCAGCCCCAGATGCCGCACGGCCGTCCTCTCCAACAATATCCTGGTGCTGAGTGATGACTCACGCGACTCCAGCATCAGTGATTTTGTTGAAGAGGGCAGCTGCCAGCCTACCGACCTGCCTGCTGTGCCCCAGCCGCCCTGCCCCCAGCCCCACCCCACAGGCCCAGGACACGTGGCCCTGTAGCAATCTCCTGGTACAGACATGGGCTTTATGTGGGGAGGGACAGGCTGGGTTGGGCTCTGTCCCCACCCTGAGTCCTGAGCACAGGTGTAATATGGCAGGTGTGGTACCATCTACCCCAGTACCCTGTGACCCCTCATACCCATGTGACCACCCGCCATGCAGACTGGGTCAGAGGTAGTACCGGGGGTGACCCCCGTGCTCTGCAGACCCTCCCGAACCCTGGGGCCAGTGGTGGCTCAGGTGAGAGCCCCAGCCCTGAGTGGGCGTGGCAGGGCTGGACCCTGAACCTGAACTCGGGCAGCCGGCCGGATCTCTGGGACACTCTAGGCCTCAGTTTCCCCATCAATTCCCGCCTCCTGGGGAGCTGAGGGTGAGGGTGTAGTAGGGCTGGGAAGAGAGGGTCCTGGAGGGAGTGCTCCTAGGGCAGCCCAGCAGGCTGCTGGCCCCAGAGAAGCGTGGACGGGTCTGGGGTGGGTTCCGGCGGGTTCTCCCCTCTCTCCGCCCCAGTCTTGTCTGCACTGGAACACATGAGGTCTACACACAGTCCTGACCCAGGTCTCGGGGCTGGGCACAGGGATAGGGCCTCGGGCAGGGGTGAGGGTGGCAGCGTCTCCAACACACCTTCCCACCTGGAATGTGAGCCACCCAGGTGTTGGCAAAGGACTTTTGTGGGGATGCCCCCCCACTGGCACACCCCACCGACCCTGCCTCTGCCCCTGCCCTGCCTGCAGCGACCTGGCCCTGCGGAACTGCCTGCTCACGGCAGACCTGACGGTGAAGATCGGTGACTACGGCCTGGCTCACTGCAAGTACAGAGTGAGTGGGGCGGGCTGGGCTGGGCTGGGCGCCAGGGGTGGGACCCGCGCCGGCAGGGGTGACCTGGCCCTGTGCCCGCAGGAGGACTACTTTGTGACTGCCGACCAGCTGTGGGTGCCTCTGCGCTGGATCGCGCCCGAGCTGGTGGACGAGGTGCACAGCAACCTGCTTGTCGTGGACCAGACCAAGAGCGGCAACGTGTGGTGAGTGTGGCCCTGGTGGGGCCATGGGGGCAAGGCCGAGTGTCACCCGCCCACCTGTATCAAACCATGGCCACAGGGAGTGAGGTCGTGGGGGCTGCTGGAGCCTCCTGTGGTGGCCACAAGCCAGCGGCCCAAGTGGCTGGTTGGGTGGCAACCCCAGACAGGTGGAGATACCATCCTGCCAGGGTGTACCAGGGACCCCTGGGCTGACACCCACCCATCCATCCATAGCTAGGTCAGAGCGCACACACGGTCAAAAGGCCACTCTAAGCATTGCTGGGGGATCTGTCCTGGGCTAGGGGTCCTCACATGTACCTGTCCCTGGGGAGATTCTGGTCAGGCCTGCCGCTGGCTGCCTTCAGAGCAGTGTAGGTCAGGCTGTGCCAGGCAGAGGCGGTGACAGGGCAGGGGTGCTGGGATCTCACAATTGCAGCCTGGAAGCCCCCATCCTGAGCGCCCAGCCTGGAGCATTCATTCACACCTGGTGTAGCCTCTGGATCCAGCTGCGCAGGGATTGGTCTCCCGGGGGCGGGCACCCTTCCTGCCCTCACCTACCTCTGCTGCTCCCCCTCTCCCAGGCTTTGGCCGCCTTCTGCTCCTGGGGAACTCTCAGAGTTTGGACCCACAGGCCAGGCCCCTCTCTAAGCCACTTGACTGTGCCCCATCATGACACTGTCCCTCCTCCCATCCTCACCTCTCCACAAAGGTACCCCTTCCTGGCCTGCCCACCGCTGGGGTCTCATCACAGGGCTCTGGCCAAGGCCACCGTGATGTCTTGGCAAATCACCTTTCTTACCCTGCAGTCTCTCAGGATAGCCAGGGCCCAAAGCAGCCAGGGGAGGCCACAGCCCCTGGCGAGGAGACCCCAGCTGCCATACCCGCCTGCGTGCTCGGTGTCCCCCTGCCTGTTCCCCTCCCTGCCCATGCTTGCCTGGCACATCTCCTCCCTCCCCTCCCTCAGTCCCCTGCAGGTGTGGGCCCTGCCCTGTCCTTTTTCGGGCTTCATGCCTGCCCTCCAGCTCCCCCACCGAGTAGTGTCTGGCCTTCCGCGTGCCAGTGAATGAATGAGTGGATAAGCAGGTGGGGTGGCCAACACGGCCTTTCTCTGCAGGCTCCACAGCTGCTGGGCTTGGGCTTGGCCCTCGAGAGTTCTCTCTGCTAAAAGGAGGGGCTGCCCTGGGGAGGGGCGGCTGGGTGGGTACCAGGCCCTGGTCCTGAGGCACTGTATGATGGCGGGAGCTGCCCCTTCAGTGCTCTGGGGGTCCTGTGTGGCCCTTGCTGTGGCAGGCTGTGCCTGGCCCCGGCTCACAGCTGTTGCCCCGCAGGTCCCTGGGCGTGACGATCTGGGAGCTCTTTGAGCTGGGCGCACAGCCCTACCCCCAGCACTCGGACCAGCAGGTGCTGGCGTACGCGGTCCGGGAGCAGCAGCTCAAACTGCCCAAGCCCCAGCTGCAGCTGACCCTGTTGGACCGCTGGTGAGGGCCCCACCGCCTGCCCCGGACAGCCAGGCCGAGATAGGTATCCTGATTCCCAGGTAGAGATTCCCAGGTAGAGGGGGCTCACCCTGACCCCCTGGATTTCCAGCCCTCCCTGGCCTCCCCTGCCCTCTAGTAGGGCCTCCACCTGCCACCTCTGCACCCCTGTGTGCAGGGAGAGAAGGCCGAGGGAAGTGCTCAGCCCAGCTCCTGCTCCCACGCTGCTGGGTCTGCTTTGGCAGATTTGGGGCATCACCGAATTAAGTGGGAGATGTCCTTAATGCCCCCAAGGCACTGGGAGTTAGGGGAACCCCATCCCTGCCCCCTCCTACACGTTCCCGGTCAGCGGCACCTCTGACGCGGCCCCTGCGGGACCTCCTCGCAGGTACGAGGTGATGCAGTTCTGCTGGCTGCAACCAGAGCAGCGGCCCACGGCCGAGGAGGTGCACCTGCTGCTGTCCTACCTGTGCGCCAAGGGCGCCACCGAGGCGGAGGAGGAGTTCGAGCGGCGCTGGCGCGCTCTGCGGCCCCGCGGGGGCGGTGTGGGGCCTGTGCCCGGTGCGGCGGGGCCCGCGCTGGCGGGAGCGGTGGAGCTCGCCGCCGCCTCGTCCTTCCCGCTGCTGGAGCAGTTTGCGGGTGACGGCTTCCACGCGGACGGCGACGACGTGCTGACGGTGACCGAGACCAGCCGAGGCCTCAATTTTGAGTACAAGTGGGAGGCGGGCCGCGGTGCCGAGGCCTTCCCCGCCATGCCGAGCCCGGGCCGCGCCGCGCGCCTGCAGGAGCTGTGCGCCCCCAACCCTGACGGCGCGCCCCCGGGCGTGGTGCCAGTGCTCAGCGCGCACAGCCCTTCGCTGGGCAGCGAGTACTTCATCCGCCTGGAGGAGGCCGCGCCCGCCGCTGGCCACGACCCCGACTGCGCAGGCTGCGCCCCCGCGGACCAGGATGACGACTCTGACGGCAGTGCAGCCGCCTCGCTGGCCACGGAGCCACTTCTGGGCCATGGGCCGCCCGCCGACATCCCCTGGGGCTGCGGCGACCACTACCCTCGCAGAAGCCTGGCGCAGGACCCGCCCTGCCCCTCAGGCTCGCCCTCGCCCTCGCCCTCGCCGGGGCCCCTGAGGCTGGCAGAGGGCGGAGCTGAGGATGCAGACTGGGGCGTGGCCGCCTTCTGCCCGCCCTTCTTCGAGGACCCACTGGGCACGTCCCCCTTGGGAAGCTCGGCGGTGCCGCCGCTGCCGCTGCCCGGTGAGGAGGAGCTGAAGGAAGTGGGAGTGTGCACGGCCACCCAGCGTGGACACTGGCGTTCCAACGTGTCCGCCAACAACAACAGCGGCAGCCGCTGTCCAGAGTCCTGGGACCTGGGCTCAGCAGGCTGCTACGCTGACGGCTGCCCCAGCCCAGAGCAGACCCCAAGGGCCTCCCCAGAGCCTGCGGACCCTGGGGAGCCTGTGCGTGGGCTGCAGGCAGCCTCCTCTGCCCAGGAGCCAGGTTGCTGCCCCAGCCTCCCCCATCTATGCCCTGCCCAGGGCCTGGCACCTCCTCCCTGCTTGGCCACTACCTCCTGGACAGAAGCAGCCGGTAGTGGGGGTGACCAACCCCAGGCAGAGCCCAAGCTTGCTGCAGACGCTGAGGGCACTGCTGGACCCCGCCTGCCCCTTCCCTCTGTTCCTTCCCCATCCCAGGAGGGCGCCCCACTTCCCTCGGAGGAGGCCAGTGCCCCTGATGCCCTGCCTGACTCTCCCACGTCTGCTGCTGGTGGCGAGGTGTCCGTCACCGAGCCAGCTTCTGCCCTGAATGGCGGCAACAACTCCCCCAAGGCGGAGGCGCCCAGCAGTGAGGATGAGGACACGGCTGAGGCCACCTCGGGCGTCTTCACCGACACATCCAGCGATGGCCCGCAGGCCGAGAGGCCGGATGCAGGGCCAGCCTTCCGCTCTTTGCAGAAGCAGGTGGGGACCCCTGACTCCCTGGACTCCCTGGACATCCCGTCCTCAGCCAGTGACGGTGGCTATGAGGTCTTCAGCCCATCAGCCGCCGGCCCCCCTGGAGGGCAGCCCCGCGCGCTAGACAGTGGTTATGACACGGAGAACTACGAGTCCCCCGAGTTTGTGCTCAAGGAGGCGCAGGATCCTTGTGAGCCCCAGGCCTTTGGGGAGCTGGCCTCGGGGAGTGAGGGCCCTGGGCCCGAGACGCGGCTCTCCGCCTCCCTCAGCGGCCTCAGCGAGAAGAATCCCTACCGAGACTCGGCGTACTTCTCAGACCTGGAGGCCGAGGCCGAGGCCACCTCCGGCCCAGAGAATAAGTGCAGCGAGGACCAAGCTCCCGAGCCAGAGCTGGGCCTGCCGAGCGCTGAGCAGCCGTCTATGCAGGCCTCCCTTGGGCCTGGGGTTCCCGGGGAGGCGCTGTCCCCACCACTGCGGCTGGGAGGGTCCTTCCCAGAGCCCAGCACCTGCACCTCCAGCCTGGGCCCAGAGCCTCAAGAGCGCCAAAACCCAGCCGAGGTGCCGCCTGGGCCCAGCCGCTCCCAGTTTTTCCTGCTGACCCCGGTTCTACTGAGCTCTGAAGGCGACAGCTCTCAGCTCCAGGGGGCCCCAGGACTGTTGTCAGGGCCGGCCCCGCAGAAGCGGATGGGGGGCCCAAGCGCCCCCAGAGCCCCATTCCGCCTGGCTCTGCCCGCCCTCCCTGCGGCCTTGGAGGGCCAGCCGGAGGAGGAAGAGGAGGACAGTGAGGACAGCGACGAGTCTGACGAGGAGCTCCGCTGCTACAGCGTCCAGGAGCCCAGCGAGGACAGTGAGGAGGAGGCGCCGGCGGTGCCCGTGGTGGTGGCCGAGAGCCAGAGCGCGCGCAACCTGCGCAGCCTGCTCAAGATGCCCAGCCTGCTGTCTGAGGATTTCTGCGAGGACCTGGATCGCAAGAAGAAGGCCGTGTCCTTCTTCGACGACGTCACTGTCTACCTCTTCGACCAGGTGGGCCGCCGCTGCCTGGGGTCTGCCCGGGGCTGGGGGTCACGCTCCTGCAGGATGAGGTGGGGGCGGCCGCGGCTCCTGGCGGCCGAGCCACCTGGTGTTCTCTGATCCCTCCAGGAAAGCCCCACCCGGGAGCTCGGGGAGCCCTTCCCCGGCGCTAAGGAGTCGCCCCCTACATTCCTTACGGGCAGCCCCGGCTCTCCCAGCGCCACCGGCCGGCAGCAGCGGGCTGATGACGGCTCCCCCCAGGGCTCCACCGCTGGAGAGGGTGAGCAGGGGCGGGGCTGGCCCGTGACGTCATGGGAGGCGGGGCCTAGGCCCGTGCCGTCATGGGAGGTGCACCTGGTCCGCGGCGCGCAGGAGCCCGCGCTATCGTGGAGGCGGGCTGGACCCGTGACGTCATGGGAGGCGGGTCCAGTCCGTGCAGCGTGGGAGGTGGGGCCTGGGCGTCTGACGTCATGGGAGGCGGGGCTAGGCCCACGTCCCCAGGCTGCAGGCGTCAGTTACGCAGTGACTCGGGTTGCAGGTGGCGGGTTCACGTGGGACGATGACTTCCCGCTGATGTCAGCCAAGGCAGCCTTTGCCACGGCCCTGGACCCGGCTGCGCCCGCCCCTGCCACGCCCGCGCCCTTCTCGCGCTTCACGGTGTCGCCAGCGCCTGCATCCCGCTTCTCCATCACGCACGTGTCCGACTTGGATGCCGAGTCCGTGAAAGGTGAGGCCTGAGCGAGGCTGCGGTGGAGGGCCGCGTGCAAGGCAGGGCACAGAGCTCCGAGGGTGGGTTCCCTCCGTCTGGGTCCCCTCCGTCTGGGTCCCGGGCCGGGCCAGCCCCTTCCCTGCCCCAGACCAAGCCTGGACCCCACCTGGCCCTCAGGCGCCTGCCTTCCCCCTTCCAGCAGGACCCTGGGTGCCTGTACCCGGCTCTCCTGCTTGACCCTACCCCCTAGATCTGCCGCAGTCCCTCCCACGAGAACCTTCCCAGCCAGAAGCCCCGGCAGACCGAACCATCCCCAACCCGGCAGGTGGAATCCTGTTGGAGGCCTGAGCCACCGCTCCCGGCCACGCCCCTCCACTGTCTGCTTCAGCCCCAGGATGGGTCATCTCTATCAGGTGTCCCTACGGGTGCAGCCCCTGCCCACATGCCTGATGCATGACATTCCCACCCCCTCGGAGAAGCCCCGGCCATCTTCCACCCCTCCCAGACCCACCCTTCCCTAGCTACCCTGGCCTGTGGCTGCAGCCTTAGGGGACAGGTGGACCTATCAGCCTCGCCCCTGGTGTGGGGTGGCCTGTGTGTGGCTGAGCAAGCAGGCAGGTCACTAGGAGGCCACTGCATGACCTTGGTCATCCCCTTCCTGTTCAGGCCTAAGAGAACTTGGAGGCATCAGCTGAGCGTTGTTGGCCTGGGTACAGTGATGCGGGAGTAGGAGAAATGGGTCCACCTGCCACCTAGGCACAGCCAGATCTGCTGCAGGGAAGGGGGCCTGGCCGGCCTGTATGTGGGCCAGGGCTGGAGGCCAGGTGGGAGCCGTGGGCTCTCAGGACACTGTGTTCACTTTGTTGTCCTCCTTGCCAGGCCCTGCAACAGGTGCCGTGGGCGAGAGTAAAGAGGCTTGAGATGCAGGAAGCTCCCGCCCCTCGAGGCTGGCATCACCAGAGCCCCTGCCAGGCAGCAGCAAAGATGGTGACTGGGAAGGTGGGGACCATGTCCTGGTGGCAGCACATTCGGGTGCCTCTGCATCACGCGGTGTCCTGGAGAAGCCGGTGAGCTGAGAGGCCCTGGGCCCTGGACAGATTGACTATGCTTTGCCCTGGGGGCAGAATTCGCTGGCATTTGGGTTTGCTGCTAGCCCCTGGGGGTGCCTGGAGCCACAGTGGGTGTCTATACACACACACTCTCTCAAGAGGGGCCAGTGCCCCTGGGTGGCCCCCACCCTGTCTGCTGCTGGGGCCGCCTGGCCTTGGGCGGCTCCTCCAGTGTGCTCACAGGACAAGGCACGGGCAGGCTTGGGCCTTCCCCCCTCCCTGTCCCCGCACCGAGCCTCTACTCTTGCCTGGTTCCTGGTGGCTCATGGCAAGGAGCAGCCCTGGACACCCGTATATCAGTCCTGTCTCCGCTTCCCGTATCTCAAAATCCATGGCTGTTTTCCCTTCACTGACTCAGCTAGCCCATGAGCCACCTTTCCCCCAGGGAATGTGCTGCTCCCGCCTGGGCCCTGCTGTGGTCATGGTGGGATCGGGGTGGAGGGGCCTTCGGGCTGCACTCCTGCCTCAAAGGCCCCGTTCTAGAGGTGCCATTGGCAGGACGGTGTGGGCAGCTCTCCTCTGCAGGGCACTGCCCGGTCCTGTCCCCCAGCTGCCAAAGGAGAATAGGGCCATACCCCGCAGTCAGGGTTGGGGGCTCCTGCCTGCGGGGAGAGGGCTGGTGGGGAGGGCTAGGAGCTGGGCCTGGCAGCACAGGGAATATTTTTGTAACTGCTGTGGTTGGAGCGAGTGGAAATGGGATGATTTAAAGTTACTGTTGCCAAAGAGATGTCAGGTTTTTGCTGCTTTGCAGGGGACTTGTTTTCGTGTTTTGTTTGAGGCTTAGGATGCTGGTGCAATGTTCTCTTGTTCCTTTTTTGTTTTTTAAGAGAAATGAAGCTAAGAAAAAAAAAAAGCCTTTGTGTGTTTTCTTCTGAGGTCTGCAGATAAAAAGTCCTGAACAGGTGGGGCTGTGCCTTGGCTAGGGTAGGAACCCACCCCTCCCCTCACTGTCCTGGGCAGCCCTGGTGGAGAGGACGGTTTTCTGGCACTACCATGCCCAGGCACCAGGGCTGGAGACCCTGCGGGTCTCCCTTGCTGCCCGCAGAACTGGCCTGGTAGGCACAGGAGGAAAGAGGAGAGCCACAAGCCTCTCGGGACGGCCTCCTCCCTGCCCTTCGATGTCTGTCCCTGGGCCCAGAGTGGATGTCGGAGGCAGGAGAGAGGCACAGCTAGGCCCCTGCACCCTTCAGCCGCCAGCTCTCAAGTGCTGTCCCAGCCTGCCGACCCCACAGCTTCCTGTCCGAGGGATGAGTGGCTGCAGGCGGGTTGGGGGCTCTAGAGCCCTTTTTCAGAGGGTGAGGAGCAAGCTCTGCTAGAGACGACTCCCCAGGTAAGAGTTATTGTTGTCACCAGCGCAGCTCGCCACATTGTATTGCACCTGACAGTGTCGAAGAGCACAGATCTGATAATGAAGTTTTAAAATCACCAATTCCAACAGAGCTCCCCAGTGCCTGCGGGAGTCCTGGGGCAGAGCCCGGGAGTGAGCAAGCCCTACCTGCCAGCAAGTACCTGGCCAGTGACCCAGCACAGCACCTGACAGACACCCCACCTTTGGCCACAGAAGCGCACTGGGAGGCCCTGGCAGCCAGGCTCTGGATGGGAGCTCAGGCAGGGAGGAGACTGGGGCCTGCCCAGAGGCAGAAGGGGCCCAGGGAGGCCCCCCAACACTGCCGGTAGGAGTGAGAGACCCAGGAGCGCCCCGCCGAGGGGCATGGGGAGGGACCAGGCCCCACACGCCAGGCGCAGCTGCCGGGCCTACAGGGAGTTACGTGCTTATGGGACGTTCATCTTCCAGCCACAGGCTGCGGGCTCTCCCTCCCGGTGCTCCCAGCCTCCTAGCCCTTGGGTGGACAGACCACACCTGGTCCAGGAGGGGCAGCCTGTTTATTAAGCAGAGAAAGCAGCATGGCAGCCAGGCTCCCCGCCCCCAGCCACCAGCTGGCCAAACAACCTCCCTAGACCCAGGGGCAGCCCAGGGCCCCAGGGCTCCAGGGCCATGTGACCAGAGGTGTGTACCCTCAAGAGGCAGCCCCTCAACCCTGGGCAGTGCAGCCAATGGGTCTTGGCCTCTTGGGGGCCTGTGCCCAATTCTGCCTGGCCCTGCCCAGAACAGCTGGGACCCAGCCCAGACCAGGCTCAAGTAGGGCAGGCCAGGCAGCAGGGGCTGGGTGCTCCCTAAACAGGCACGCACAGTGACGACAGAACAGGCTACATGGGAGGGTGGTGGGAAGGCCGCCGGATGGGCAGCGCCGCAGACGTGGCCATCAGCTGAGGAGGGGGGCAGACCTGTCGTTGGTCACCGTTGGCTTCAGCTGGACGTGGGCAAAGGGATTCCTGAGAGAGAAGAGAGAAAAGTGGTTTTAATTTCGGGAAGGAGTCATGGGTGAATTGTGCCACCCGGGCGGCCCGATGCCCCCAGGGATCCCCATGCTGGACCCCTATGGTCCAGTCTCAGGGCACGGAGCTCATAGACAACAAGCTGCTTTGGCGTACAGGCAGAGCCAGGCGCTGTCTGCAAGGCTGCCTCACCCCGAGCTCCACCACCCTCTGCTCACCCTATGTGCCCTAGATGAGGCAGGGTGCCCCCACCCCGATCCATCACCCTCCCAGTAGCGTGGGTGGGCAGGGCAGCTGCAGCCTCCCAGTGAGGGGTGGATATCACCACTGAGGCTGGAGACTCAAGACAGCCCCAAACTGGGCGCACATCAGTTTGGTGGCCCTCCTGCCAGGCCAGGCCCAAACCCAGGGACACAGCTTGGCAGAGCACCCAGCCCTGGCACGGGGGCATCCAGAGGAAAGCAAGTCAGGCTTGTGGCACCCACAGGGCTGCAGATGGACACCTGTGGCCCCTGCAGAGCAGCTGGCCAGCCCAGGCCTGCTGATGGCTCACTCAGTCAACTGTACCCCAGGGGTGCTGCCCTCCTCTACATCCCCAGGGCCACAGCTGATGCACAGATAGGACTCAAGACAAGAAGTTGAAATGGAACAAGATGAGCACGGATGACGGGGCTCCTGGGCCTTTCTCTCTGGAGTCCCCACCCCTCAGGCAGGGACAGCACAGGCAGGATGGGGGTGTCAGGCGGCTCCCAGGGCGACAGCACAGATGGCACATGGACATGAAGGCACAGTAGGCACAGGACTGTGCTCTGGCAAAGCTGCGTTCAGACTCTTGAGCCGTTACCTGGAGTGGAGTCACCTCTGGCACAGCTGCGTCCACAGGAGCCCAGGCAGCCAGGAGCAACCCTGGGGCGGGCAGGCAGGGCTCTGTCCGGCTGCCCAGGAAGACGCACAGGGCGGGGGCAGAGCCCTAAGCTTTCCTGAGGACTGTGTGTTTTCTAAGAACCTGAAACACTTTTTGGACTGTGAGTTTTTAATAAAGTATGCGGAAGAGACTGATGGGTCTGTGGAGGGCTCTGAGACTCCCACATGGCATCTAAGCATTGGCACCCCACTGAAAGGTTCTTTTGATTTACTGTCAACGAGCTGGAGCCTCAGGGTATGCTGGATCCCCAGCTTCCTTCAGCTTTGATCTGCGCGGCTTCTCGCCTTCAGGGGGCCTGGGTGGGGGGGGCTGGGTAAGGGCTGCCTGGGGCACCATGGTGAGGGCTCCACCTCCATTAGTGACGTCTGTCCATGCCCTGCCTCCCTGCCAGGTTAGACTCACTCCTAGGGAAGTGCTCTATGGCCCGAGTCTCCACCCAGGCCCAGCGTCCAGAGGGAGCTCCGGCTGGGCATGGTGGCTCCTGCCTGGAATCCCAGCACTTTGAGAGGCCAAAGTAGGAGGAACTACTTGAGCCCTGGAGTTCGAGACCAGCCTGGGCACAAAGTAGACCGGTCTCTGCAAAACTAAGAAATAAAACATTAGCCAGGCGCGGGATAGTGGTGCATGCCTGCGGTCCCAGCTCCATGAGGCTGAAGTGGGAGGGTCGCCTGAACCCAGGAAGTTAGGGCTGTAGTGAGCTGTGTTCCCACCGCTGCACTCCAGCTTGGGTGACAAAGTGAGACCCTGTCTCAAAAAATAAAAAAAGAAATGTGGAAATGCAGCTCGCACAGACCAGAGCCAAGGGCAGTGCGGCCAAGTGGTTCTCACTCCTGCCCTGACTCACACCCCATTCTCATCAGAAAGTCGGCAGCAAAAGCACATGGGCGGGCGGAACCACTGGGGAGCTGCAGGGTTAGGACGTTCTCCCACCGCTGCAGGCTGTTCCCTAACCTGCATTTCTTCTCGTCTCCCAGAACACTGGGACCAGGCGGAGCGTGCTGAACCGTCCACACTGGTGGCTGAGGACCCTGGGGCTGGGGCTGCAAATACTGTGTCCAGTCTCAGCCTGACAGGGGCAGAGGGGTCAGCGGAAAGGGGAGAGCGCAGGCCAGAGCCTGCCAAGGCTGGCTGGGACAGCAGGCCCACATGGAGGGGCTGGGTGTCCCTGTTTCCCCAGCCCAGGCCGCCACCCCCAGCCGTCTGGGAAAGACACCCAAGAAGCTTGTGGGGAGCTCAGCTGTGCGGAGGGTGGGAGCCTAACTGAGCCAACAGGATGCGACCAAGTTCAGAGCCCAAGGCCGCTGCAAGGTCACTGTGCAGAAGCCACAGACACTGGTCCCTGCCAGAGGACACGTGCCAGGCCCTACCTCCTGTAGGACACGGCCCTGGGCAGCGAGTGCCTCGAACTACCCAGTGACAGCACCAGCACCTCTCACCAAGTACCCAGTGACAGCACCAGCACCTCTCACCAATTACCCAGTGACAGCACCGGCACCTCTCACCAAGTACCCAGTGACAGCACCAGCACCTCACCAACTACCCAGTGACAGCACCAGCACCTCTCACCAACTACCCAGTGACACCACCAGCACCTCTCACCAACTACCCAGTGACAGCACCAGCACCTCTCACCAAGTACCCAGTGACAGCACCAGCACCTCACCAACTACCCAGTGACACCAGCACCTCTCACCAAGTACCCAGTGACAGCACCAGCACCTCTCACCAAGTACCCAGTGACAGCACCAGCACCTCTCACCAACTACCCAGTGACAGCACCAGCACCTCTCACCAAGTACCCAGTGACAGCACCAGCACCTCTCACCAACTACCCAGTGACACCACCAGCACCTCTCACCAACTACCCAGTGACACCACCAGCACCTCTCACCAACTACCCAGTGACACCACCAGCACCTCTCACCAACTACCCAGTGACACCACCAGCACCTCTCACCAAGTACCCAGTGACAGCACCAGCACCTCTCACCAAGTATCCAGTGACAGCACCAGCACCTCTCACCAACTACCCAGTGACACCACCAGCACCTCACCAACTACCCAGTGACACCACCAGCACCTCTCACCAAGTATCCAGTGACACCACCAGCACCTCTCACCAAGTATCCAGTGACAGCACCAGCACCTCTCACCAACTACTCAGTGACACCACCAGCATCTCACCAACTACCCAGTGACACCACCAGCACCTCTCACCAAGTACCCAGTGAGCACCAGCATCTCACCCAGTACCCAGGATAGCACCAGCACCTCTCACCAAGTACCCAGTGACAGCACCAGCACCTCTCACCAAGTACCCAGTGACACCACCAGCACCTCTCACCAACTACCCAGTGACAGCACCAGCACCTCTCACCAACTACCCAGTGACAGCACCAGCACCAGCACCTCTCACCAAGTGCCCAGTGACACCATCAGCACCTCTTGAGCCGGCAAAGGAAAGTCACCAGACACATCCAAGAATGGACGGCCCTGAGGAGGCCTGCGTCGCGTTCGGGGAGCTGCGGGGTGGGCAGGGCACTGGCCTCAGGATACAGAGGCTCTGGGCTCTTTCTCCTCACTAAGAGGCACCCATCAGAGCCTCCTAAGCAAGGCCGCAGGGGTGACCAGTGGCTTTTGTAACTTTTAAATTGTACTATTTTGAGACAGTCTTGTTTTGTCCTCCAGGCTGGAGTGCAGTGGTGCAGTCATAGCTCACTGCAACCTCTACCTCTAGGCTCAAGCAATCAAACCTCAGCCTCCCAAGAAGCTGGGACTGCAGGGGCATGCCACCATGCCTAGCTAATTAAAAATTTTTTTTGTTGAGATGGGGGTCTCCCAGGCTGATCTCGAACTCCTAGGCTCAAGAGATCCTCTCGCCTGCCCCAAAGTGCTGGGATTACAGGCGTGGGCCACTGTGCCCAGCCAACTGGCAGCTTTTACACAAGGCATGGATGCCAGTGCCACAGAACCAGCTGTGGCCAGGAGAGCTGGTGTGGGCACCTCTGCCAGGAAGGAGCTGGTCAGGGGGTCTCTCACAGCTTGGAGTTTGAGGGGCTGGGACGCCCCCGCCAGCCCATGGGTGGTTCTCGGCATGTCTCAGGGGTTCCATCCCCAGAGTCCAGCTCCCTGCGGGAGAGCAGCTTCCCGCTGTAGCCCTGCAGAACCTCGGTGCGCTTTGGAATGCAGGCAGCTACCTAGGATCATTTCCTGAACCGATGACTTGAACATGAAACAGAAAGATGCCGAGAAGAAACGGAGCCATCACAAAGTGTGTTTCGACCAGTTAGGTGACGCCAGACCAGAAGTGGGCGGACAGCAGCTGATCTGCCTCCTCCACGTCAACTGCTCCTCCGTCTTCAGAAGGTCGGCCCTTCTGGAATCCAGTCCAGCGTGTGCTTGGGCCTCACTGACAAGGAGTGTGGAAAGCGGCCAGGGGCGCTCAGCCCTCCACTCTCATTCCAAGGCCCCCTTCCCAGGGCCCAGAGCTGGGGCACAGCAGGGTGGCGACCGCTGGGGGAGTCCCTTGATCAACCGCAAGTGGCTTCTAACACCCCCAATCCCAGCTGAGTTGTCAGACCAGGCTGATGGTGTGGTCAGGAGACTGACCCCTGGTGCTGGGGCGCAGTGGTGGGCTGAGACGAGCACCACTGCCCTACTGGCACTGCCACCTGGGTCTCTGCCCTCCACCAAGGGATGTGGCCCCTGACAGAGGCTGTGCCAGCCTCACCTCCGAGCCTTCACCCCTCCCAAGCCTCACCAGGCAAGGGCAGCACAGCCCCCTCAGCTCAGAGGGACCTGGGGAAGTGGGAGATCTTGGAAGGGAGGAAGATGGAGGAGGAAGGCAAGGTGGCAGCCAGGACCAGCCCACTGCATCTCCATCCAGTCCCCACGCTTCAAGAGCAGTTTTCTACAAACCTCCAAAACTCGTCCTGAATCTCAACCACAGAAAGGCAACGACACAAGACGGGGTCCCTGATCTGCTTGTGGCCTGGCTGCCATGGGCCAGGATGCCTGCTATGACCACCAGGGAGACTTGGGGAGTGCCGTCCTTTGTGAAGGATGCGGGCATTGGCTCTGCAGAGCCACCCTCCCAACAGCTTGGGGACAGGAGGGTGGTGGGAAGCAGGACCTGCCCAGACACAGGTGCTGGGGATAGGAAGGTGTGGGCAAGGGCCCCCCTGCTGAGGGCAGAAGGCCTTCTGCACAGCCTTGCACATCCCAAGTATACACTGGAAACCAGGGAACTGGCCCCCTCAACCCTGGGGGAAACGGGCTCAGACCCTGACTCCAGAGTCCCACCGGAACTGGAGCCATAGAGGCCCAGCACCCCGGAGTGAGCATCAGCTCCAACCTGGACCCAGCGGCCTCCAGGTCTGCAGAGCCAGACAGGATGCAGCCAGTGTCCTGGGACAGAAGAAGCACGCCCCAGTGGCCATGGAGCTCCCTCAGGCTGTCCCCAGGACCCCAACCACAGTCCCAAAGGCATACACCCAGAGAAGCCCAAGCCAGTGCTGCGGGTCAGGCGGGAAAGGCCCGGCCCGCAGCTGCTTGCCAGTCACCCTTTGACTGTCACTAAAGCGCCGGCAGGGCGGGAGAGGACCAGACAGAGGGTCAGGGCCAGAGCCACACCCAACAGTGGGGGGAGCCCCGAGAGCAGCCAGCCAGAGCCCACAAGCTTCCAAGATGGGGGGAAGGAGACCACGAACCCAAGGAGGGAACCCAGGAGAGGAGAAGGCCCGACACCCAGAGCAAGAGGCAGGTTCGGCGGACCCCCGGCCCCACCAGGCAGCTGGGCCTTCCCCACCCAGGCTGCGTGGCTGAGGCCAGAGGGCCCGTGTAGAGCCGGAGAGGCCACTGATCGCACGAGAATGTCAGGCAACTTACTAACTCTAGTCAGGCGGCTCAGAATCTGGCCACTTCCACATCAGTGCTGTAAGGAAACACAAGGCTCGGTTGGAGGTGGCATGGGGTCTGAGGACTCGGCGCACAGGAGGGGGCCACGGGCGAGCTGCCCGGAGGAGACCTAGGACCCCGGAGCACGCGGAGCGGGCACATGGCTGGGGCCCTGGCTCTCCCAGACGGATGGTGCCTACGGAGCCTGCCTTGCTCACGGGCCCGGAGGGAGCCAGGAGCCTGCCTCAGCCACAGGTAGCCCACACTCTCCCCGGGGGCAACGGGACCCCCAGAACCCCATCAGAGTGAGCGACTGTCACCAGGCTGGCACTGGTTGCAAGCTCAGGTTATTCCAGCAGGCGGCTGAGTGCGGAGAAAGTACCCGGCAGAAACGGGCACGAGGCGGGGCCCCCATGGCCCAGATGCACGCCGGGTACCGGAAAGAGGTCCATACCCAACTCGTGCAATAAATAAAACTTTTATTCCAACAAGTAACTGCAGTACAGGGCACAATTCTGATTTTAAAAAAAGGAAAAGAAACAGGAAAAAATATGTTGAGCACTTTACATCTTCATACAAGTGTTGCTGTTTTGTGTCTACATTCATCCATTGAGCATGGAGTCCCCTGGATTTGAAATCTTTAGCGCAGCGGGAGCGCCAGCGCGGAAGGGTCTCTACACAGGGCCCAGTCCGGCCATGTTTTCCTTAATGTCGCGCAGTCCGCGGCTTGTGCTGCTCCCACACAAACACTACCAGCCACGTCCCAGTCCACGGGAGGTGTGCGGGAGGCTTTTGCTAAACCACGTCAGATAAAGGAGCATCTTGGCTTCCCGGGGCTCCCACCGGCAGGCAGGCGGGGCCAGGCTGTACCTGCGCCCACTCCCCAGAGTTCAGTGTGTGAAGAGACAATACCAGTAGCCACTGAATCCACTGTGTTTGTTTCCAAAGTCACCAAGACACACAAAAAGACGAGAGCGTTTAGGAAGAACCGGGCAGGGACCTCCTGCTTCTCCCAGGTGGGAGGCCTGGGTGTGGCGTGCCCAGAGCTGCCCTCCCCTGGCCAGGCCCAGCCCGCACGCCCTGCCCCGGGCAGCCAGATAGCCCGTGGCAGCCTCAATGCCCTCACAAGGCTGGTCAAAGGAATGTGGGGGTGGGGTGGTCTCTGGAGGTCTTTGGAATGTCCATGTGCAGCCGGGCAGCACCTGTTCCAGACCTCGCTCCTGCCAGTGCCCAACAGGAGGCAAGGCCACCCTGCCTCTCTGCTTTATGTACACCTGGCCCTTGGCATCCAGAGGGAGAAGCCCTCGGGTGCCGGGGCCCGGCCTCCCTCACAGGAGCAGCCGGTTTCCTCAGGAGGCCCCCTGAGCTTGGCACAAGCCCCCTTTCTCTGTGCAGCCCTTGACAGGGGCCAGGGTGGCCAGGGACCCCAGCACCTTCCCCGTCCGGACAGAGGCCACACGCCAGGGAGTCAGATGGCGAGATAGCGGTGCGCACACCGGAGTCCATGCAGATCGGGTTTTGTTTTCCAGGAAAAAAAAGTCCTTTTTCCTGTTTTTTGTCTTTTTTTTTTTTTTTTTTTTTAATATTTTTCTTTTTCTTCAAACTTTAGACCTGGCTCACGGCGAGTCTGAGAAAAGCAGTGAGTGCCACAGACACTGCAGGGTGGGTCCTGCCTGGCAGTTTCTGCCCGAAAGGCTGGGACACATGGGGAGGGGCGCGTGAACACGGGGCGGGTGGAGCAGCACCATGGACCCTGGGGGATCACAGAGTCTGGGGTCACCAACCAAAAGGCAGGGGGCAGGTGGGAAAGAAAACCCAGGAACAAACCAGCGAGAGCTGAGGAGGACAACGGACGGAGACCGGGGGGGGGGGGGCGGAAGCTCTTCAGAGCAGCGGCTGCCCGGGGTCAGCGTCCTCACACTGTGGACACCAGCGTGCCGCTGCCACTGCGAACAAAGCACAGCACGGCTGCCCAGCTGCACACTGCTGCCAGCCACCGGCGGCACATCTGCCCGCACCCAGCAATGCCCCTTTCGGTAGCTCCCTCGGGGAAGGCCCAGGACAAGGGTGGAGCACAGGCCACGGGCAGAGGAGGCTGCACCCCCAGCCATCAATGGCAGCCTCAGCCACCTTCCCCAACCCTGCCCTTGCCTGACACGGATGGATGGGGCCGGCCCGATGCCAAGAAAGAGGAGCAGGGCCCGGGGGCTTCCCGTGCCACTCGGAGAGAGCAGGAGGCCCTGGGGAGGCATCCCCGGCTCTGGCAGGGATGAAGGGCCAGGCTGGGCCTTAAAGGAAGAAGAGTTGATCCCAGGTTCTAAGAAAGGGACCTGCCCTGACTCAGCCTCTTGCAGACCCACCATGGTCCCACAGACAGGTCTGAAAGCCCCCTTACCTGCTCATGGACCGTGCTCCATAGTCTTCCAGACCCTGGGGGCAAAGATGGAAACAGGTCAGGCCAGGTGACAGGGCTGCGGTTACCCCCCTCCAGTGCCTGTACACAACACAATGATCCCACCTGGGCAGGGTTCAAACCCTGTTCCCTTGGAAGGCTCCCCATCTCCTGGCCCAGCACTCAGGGGCCTGCCTAGAGCCCTGCCTGGTCCCTGTGGTGAAGTGGTGACTGCCCAAATTAATGGGCATGCCTCCTCCAGCCAGCGGCCAATTCAGAGCGTGCGCATGTGGCACGCTCCAAAGCATACACAGGACCGGCCACCCAGGACCCTCTGCCTGCCCCCAGGGAGCTGAGGCCCCTCAGGGCACCTGCAGCACCTTACCCATGCCTGGGCGGGCAGCTGGGCCAGGGGACCCGATGGCCCATATCCAGGGTCACACTGACTGGAAGGGCCCTGCCATGTGCCAGGGCTGAGCAGCAAGTGCTCCATCCATGGCTGTGACTGAGGGAGCCCTGAGGTTCTCAGGAAGGGATCCCGGAAGCTAGGCCTTCCCTGATCCCCCTGGCTCTCCCAAGAGGTGGCAGTGTCCAGGCCCACCCCTAGGCCAGCCACTTCCCAGCCCAGATGCTGCCCCCATGGGCAGAGGAGCAAGCTGTCTGTGGCTGGCTGAGGGCACCATGAGTGACGGGTCAACCCCAGCCCGAGCGCGCCCACAGAGGGAGCCTGCTGGGGCAAGGCGGGCGGCCTGTGGTCCAAGCAGAGGTGTGCATACATGTCACAAATCACAGAGTCTTCACCCCAGAGCTGCCCAAAGAGACCCAGACCCCCAGGCACCTGGCCTGTCAGCAGAGGCTCCAATGTAGGACTACAGGCTGAGCCCACCTGCGGGCCCTCCCGCTTGCTGACCTGGGAGAAGGCGGGCACGGCCACACTGTAGGGCCTCTGCTTGAAGCCGCTGGCCGTCTGGGCAGGGAAGGCCCGGGAGGTGGCGCCGTAGTCAGGGGGCGGGATTGCCAAGTCGTCCTTGTCCAGGAGGTTGCCTGTGCTGCTGCTCTTCCCTTGCTGCAAGCTGCAGGGACGGAGACTCAGAGGCAGTACAGCAGGCCGGGCCCCCCACACCCCACACCCTGGACGGCCCACCCTCATCTATCCCACACCACATGCGGGTAGGCTGCTTTCAGGCCAAGGCAGAAGCCCTGGGGACACTGGGCTGGGCCAGTCTGGCCTCCCTCCCTCCTCCTGGTCATGAAGCTGAACCAGGAGGATTCTAGAGGGGCTGGGCTGCCACGGCAATCCCCGACCCTCCCAGCAGCCCCACCCCCTACCAGCTTTCAGCTGTGATACTCTGAAGGCTAGGAGAACCTGGAAGACCTGGGACAGCCAGGTCCCCGAACACCTGGTGCCCAGGAGTGGCCCTCACAGCACCTGCCGCCTGCACTGGTGTCCCCAGGGCTCAGGCCCCGCCGCACAGGGCACCCCTGTGCCTCCACCCACAAGGAGCCGGAAGCCCAGCCCAGCTCTCTGAGCCCAGGGGCCTGGTCATCCCCTCTCCAGAGCCAGGGACCTTGCCCTCCCATCAGGCCCAGTGCTCACCTCATGTGCAGCCTGTCGCTGCCGTCACTGTCCAGGACCCGGGTGTAGGAGAAGGGAAACCAGCCCCTCCTGGAAGAGAGGCCCCAGGTAAGAGCCATGCTCAGCCTGGAGAACCATAGGTGGGGCAATGGCTCCCCATCCCCCATGACCACCATCCCCCGTCAACTACTATCCAAGCCCAGGTCCCTCTAGCTCCCCAGCATGGCTGCACCGCTGTCTCTGGAGGAGCAGATGCCAGCGCTCCAGAGAGACCAAGACCCCAGCCCACTTCCACTGTGTGCTCAGCCTCAAGGGGAAGGCAGCCTGGGCTGTCCCCACCCTGATGGGAGCTGCCGGCCCCACCAGACCCAACTGTAAGGCCTGAGGGCCCAGGCAGAGCCATCGCTCCTGCTTCCCAGCCCCAGCACCACACTGAGCCACCGACGGGAACAAGACTGGAATGACCACTGTAAGAGGTGGAGCAGCCTCCTGGGAGACCCTCACCCTCAGGCCCCTCATCAGGCCTCCTGGGAGACACCCCATCCTCAGCCTCCTCCCCGGGCCTCCTGGGAAACCCCCTGCCCTCAGCACCCCCAGGGGGCACAGGAAGGCACAAATGTCAGGCCCTTTTCCTGTCTTACCAAGAGATACACCCACACAAACACAGCCCTGAGAAGGGAGCCTGACCCAGGCAGCCCCCAGGTCCCTCAAGGGCAGCACCCTGGCCCAGCCTCTCTGCAACAACATTCACATAAACTGGGGAGATGCAGCCCCCGTCTGACTCCATGAGGTGACTTCTAGAACTCCAAACTGCAGAGCCCATCAGGTGTGTGAAAGAGTTGAAGACCAAAAAAAGGTTTCAGTCTCAGGATGGCCAAGCCCTGCTCTGCATCTGTGAACCTCAGGAAACTCATGCCCCACCCACAGGGCTTCGGCCACACGTGCCGAGTGTGTACACGTGTGGTAAGCCACACCCTGCACCAAACTGAGTGGCAGAGGGAGGCAATGGAGCAAGGTCACCAGACTCTGTGGTGGGAGACCTCTGGTGTGGGGGGAGACCCCTCCTGTTGGGGAAGATCCCTGCCAGGAGGTGATAAGGTAAAGAACCCTGCCAAGGGGAGGACGCCTGCTGGTGGGAATACCCTAGGTCATGCTTGCTCTTGCTGCCCACGTTTTCTAAGGCGAGAACCTGTGACCTGCACAGTCAGTCTGAATACAGTGAGGTCCCAGTGCCTTTGAGAACCGCCACCCCACACGCTTGCTGCAGGCAGCGGCCCCTGGAACCCGACCCCCAACGCATCTGAGCCGCCACCCCGAACGCTTGCTGCAGGCATCCATCCACCCCTGGACCGGCCCCAACGCATCTGAGCACCACCCCGCACGCTTGCTGCAGGCAGCGGCCCCTGGAACCCGCGCCCATCGCATCTGAGTGCCACCCCGAACGCTTGCTGCAGGCAGCGGCCCCTGGAACCTGCGCCCATCGCATCTGAGCGCCACCCCGAACGCTTGCTGCAGGCAGCGGCCCCTGGAACCCACGCCCATCGCATCTGAGCGCCACCCCGAATGCTTGCTGCAGGCAGCGGCCCCTGGAACCCGCGCCCATCGCATCTGAGCGCCACCCTGAATGCTTGCTGCAGGCAGCGGCCCCTGGAACCCGCGCCCATCGCATCTGAGCGCCACCCCGCACGCTTGCTGCAGGCAGCGGCCCCTGGAACCTGCCCCCATCGCATCTGAGCGCCACCCTGAATGCTTGCTGCAGGCAGCGGCCCCTGGAACCCACCCCCATCGCATCTGAGCGCCACCCCGAATGCTTGCTGCAGGCAGTGGTCCCTGGAACCCGCCCCCAATGCATCTGAGCGCCACCCCGCACGCTCGCTGCAGGCATCCGTCCGCCCCGGACCGGCCCCAGAGACACTCACATCTTGGTCTTCTCACTCTCTCCGTAGTGCCAGCCGTCGCGGGCCTCGGGCACCAGCAGGGTAATGAGGTCACCCTCCTTGAAGCTCAGCAAGGTGCTGTTGTCCCCAGCGGCGTGGGAGAAGATGGCCTTTACCCGCATGCGCCCGTTGCGCTCCAGGCCGGCTGCCATGGAGCTTGAGCGAGGCAGAGTCTTGTTCTCGGCTGCTGGGACAAGGGACATATAAGGGGACTCTGCCCCGTCCCCCCTTGCTGGCAGCAGAGCCCAGGGAGCCTGGTGGAGGTGCCAACAGCGCAGCCGCCTGTGCACCAATGAGTGTGTGAGGCATTCCTGGGACGGCTAAGCTCTCCGGAGCCGCAGCTATCTGCCCCCTAATGGCTGCTGCCTGCAGGAGCCTGATAACCCTGTACCCACTCATGCCCCCACCTAGCACCAGAGGCTTGACAGCCGGGAGCTGAGTGCCGTGCAGGCACACATGTACCACATACACACAGTCACATTCTTGTGAGCCTCAGGGTCTCCCAGGCCCCTAACTCCGGGGTGTGGCATGACTACAGGGCCTGGGGAGGTACGCCCAAGGACCCCAGCCCAACCCCCCAGTGGAGCCCTTACTGGTGGCATAGCTGTTTTTTGGGGTCACGCTCTTGCGCACGGGGAGCGTGTTGGAGTAGGAGTCGCTCAGCTTGCTCTGAGACTGTGGAGGAGACAGGGATTTGGGCTGGGCAGCCTTGCGGTCAGCCCAGGGGCTATAGTCCTCGCCATCCGGGCCCGCCACGCCATTCATGATGGGTGCGTTCTCCTGGGCAGACATCCGCTGCAGAGAAGGAGTGGAGCAGGCTGTTACTGAAGCCCACCCCAGGCAAGGCGGGGGGAAAGAGAACCCTCCACCCCCTCAAGCAGGGGCCCTTGGCCTCTGTACCTCTGCTCCCCTACCCCCAAGAACGAGCCACCCTCCCACACATACCCGTGACGCTTTCTGGAGGCCACAGACTCACCCCCACAAATGGTGCCAGCTCGGGGGGTACCGGCAGGGGCTTGGCCCCCGGGATGGGATCAGAGATGACCAGGTTGGACTTGGAGGCCGACAGGGCACTGGGGAGGGCGGCGCCGTTGCTGGCCACCTGCTGCATCAGCTGCACGGCGCGCTCCGGGATCTTGCTGGGGTCAGCACAGGCCTGTTGCCACAGCGGCAGCTTCTGCGCCAGCAGCTCCTTGCCCTGAAGTGGAGGAAGCCAGAAGGGAGGGGTCAGGACAGCTCAGGGCCAGGCACCCTCTGGGGCTGGGGGCTGCTCTTCACCAGGTGGCGCCTCTCAGTGGGATAAGCCACCTGTGAGCCCCTGACCCCAATGCACAGAAGCAGCTACCAGAAAAGGGCCCAAGAGGCGACCAGAAGCCGTACAGTTGGGGGACCTACAGGGATGAGATCAAACCCAGGGCCAAACCCAGTGGGGCCCATTAGGGCCTGGAGGAAGGAGAAATGGACAGGGGTGCACAAGGTCAAACCCTGGTGGGAAAACCCCAATGTGCTAGGAATCATTCATTCATGGCTGTCCTCACATTGTAGTGACAAAGCTGGAGACCGTGTGACCCACAGAGCCAAAAACATGAACTCTGGCCATTCAGAACATCTACTGAGCCCTGGCTTAGATTGGTGGTAGAGGAGTGAATCTTGGGGGGTGTGGAGAGGCCAGCAGGGACCAGCACCAGGGCAGATGGCCAGGGGACACCAATCTCATAGCAGCAGGGCCCCAACACAGTGGACATGAGCCAGTCATCCCCTCCAGCCTGAGAGGTCCATGGCTGCCTCGGGGCAGGCCCGAACCCAAGCACCAGGGAGCTACCAGGAACTGCCCTGGGAGGAGGCCACCCTCACAGCCTGAACCCTGCCCAGAGGCTTGTCCAAGTGGGTCTCTGGGACCCGGGTCTCTTCCACACGTGCCCAGGAGCTCAGCTGCTCCCCCTGCACGGACATGATCTGCATCCCCTCTGGGGAGACAGCGGCCCGGCCTCCCTGCCCTCCGTCCCTGCCAGCAGTACCCCGGCCACTGACAGCCTGGTATCATTCCCTGGCCCTGGCCCAGACCCCGCCAGAGGGCGCAGATGCCCGCCACTGTCCTGGGTCTAGCAGGTGAAAGGCATGCGCTCCACAGCGCCCCCTGCCTAGCAGCTGGGGCGGCAAGGCTGGGAGGTTGCCTCCAGGGAACACGAGTGCTGCTGCTGTCCTCGCCTGCACCTGCCCACAGCACCCAGCAGGCCCAGGCTGGCAGAAGGGGCCTCTCCAGGGAGGGAGGAGCAGCTGTCTCCTGGGTGTCTCCAGGCCGTGGGGACCGGAGCACTGATTCCGTATCACGTGATAATTGGGGGGAGAGCAAGTGTCAAGGTGTAGCCTGTGAATCCCTGGGACCCCTTATATTAGAAAGACATGACCAGGGCCTCCCTGGTGGGCTTGGCTACTGAACTACACCTAAGCTCTTGGGATGTTCCAGAATGTTCCAGGGGACACATCTGATCCCACCCCAGCTCCTACCCATGGGCTAGGGGTAAACAGGGACCTGCTGGCCCTGCCTGTTCCTGGTGGGGAATCTGGCCTCTGGGCCTTGCCTGCTCTGGGGGCTAAGTCAGCCTTCTAGGAAGGGTTCCCCTTGCTCGCAATGGGGCTCAGGACATCCGTTCAGGGGACTGCTGCAGCCTCTCCCTGAGGAGCTTGCTCCTGGTTCAGCAGGGCTGGGCTTGGTCCTGGGACATGGCAGATCCCAGGGTGGGAATGACCAGGCTGGGGATGCCTAGCAGGAAACACAGGGCCACAGGACTGTGCCAGGGGTAGGCAAGAGAGCCTACGGGCTCAAGGAGGGACCCTCAGCAGACGGGGACAGAGGGGTGTCTCAGAGGTCACGAGGGAGCAGCATGTGGTCACCCAAGGCCCTACTTGGGACCCCAGTGGCTCAGGAGTGCAGGCAGAGGTGCTGGAGGCACACGTCAGAGAGCCTGGGAGCCAGAGGAGGACCCTGTGACCAGGCGTGTGTCCCAGAGAGGCCCCTCTGGGGCGTGGGAGGGGCTAAGGGTCGCCTGAGAGCCAGCCAGGGCCCCTGGCTGCCCAGGAAGCAAAGAGGTAGGGCAGGTTCGGGCGGGGTGACGAGTGGTACGTCCATGTGGGACAGCCGAGCTATGGCAGCTGCTGCACCTGAGGCCAGTGGCATGGTGGTCTTGGGTGGCTGGGGACCCAGGCTTAGGGCTGGGATTCCTCAGCACCTCAGGTGAGCAGAGCCATGAGCCCAGAGGCTGTACCCCAGGAATGTGGATTGAAGGGACACAGAAGGAGCAAGCAAAGACACAGAGGCCACCCACCAGGTGCCCCACTGGGACTCCTACACCCAGCAGGAATAAGACCATCCCCAGCATGGCACCAGACTGTGCCTGGCCAGGACATGGCTATGACAGAAGAGTCAAGAACATTCTTCTAGACGAACGTTTTTCTAGACGAACGTTCTAGGCCTTGAAAGCCCATCAGACCCTCCCTGGTTGCAGATGGCAATTCTAATGCGAGTCTTCAAAATGCCTGCGCCCTGTGACCTGGTAACTCTCCTAGAACTCCATCCCCAAGAACATCCGAAATAAACCGGAGTTCAAGCCCAGACACTGCCCTGGTGTGTTCCCGGGGCCAGGGCAGGGGCCTAGGTCATTTTTGCCAGCAAGGCCCACTGCCACGGCGCAGCCCCGAGCCGCCTGACCTTGGAGTGGTAGGCTGCGGAGTTCTTGGCCACAGCACACTGCTTCTCCACCAGGAAGCAGAAGCGCCTGCGCTCCTCTGTCAGCGCGGTCTTGTAGCCGTCGGACACGTAGTTCTCCAGTTCGCCCTGCTTGTTGCTGATGGCGTCGATGTACTGCAGAGGGAAGAGGACAGAGGGGGACGCCTGTCAGGCCCAGTTCGGGGCAGCCCCACAGACTTAAAGACGCCCCATTATGCAGAGCAGAGGCAGGAAACCGAACAGCGTCTGCAGGCACTCAGAAGATAACCCAGGAGGTTGCAGCCTGATGACCGTGTCCCCCAAGAGGCCTCAGCCGCCCCGGATCGCTCTTGGTGAGCTGAGGGTCCTGCCTCCAGCGGGAGGCCCTGGCAGGGGGGCCAGCCTCACCACCTCAGGGCTCCTGTTGGGCGGTGGGGTCATGTGCACCACCTGTGGCCAAGGCACAGAAACCTGGATGTGGATGCACCCCAGCTCCACGGACAGCTTCTTGGTCCGCCTGTCGCCTGGAGCACCCTCACCTATGCCTGTGCCTCCAGGGTGCCTCCATCTCCACCAGCAGGAGAGGTGGGAAAAGCAGGAGAGGCAGGAGAGCTGGAGTCCGGGACACTGGCCGAGGGCCCCAGGGAAGCCCTCTGTTGCAGTGGGGACCGGGGCACACCTCACCTCCTCTCTTACCGGCTCCAGCTCTGAGCAAGGGAGAGCAGGGCGGTCAGACACCTGGCCAACTGTTTTCTGGAGGAGTGCTCACCGAGGGAGAGCATGAGAAGGAAGTTTGTGGGAGGATCAGACAAGAAATCACTGAGCAGAAGCTGGAGGCCCAGAAACAAGACCCCAGTCCGAGGGGACGGCAAGGTCAGGCCACGCTTGTCAGAACAGAATAAGCCCAGGTGAGGGGCCAGCACAGAGCTAGGAATGAGGAGTGGGCCTGACTGCTGCCCTCCTACCTCGGAGTTGCCCGAGTGCCCACCTGGATGTCCCATGGGATGGGGAGAATGTGTCCCGGACAAACACGGAAGCTTTGGAAACCCCCTCAGCCTTGGCAGGTGTCCTGGGCACAGGAAAGACAGGTAGTCAAGCCAGACCCTACAATCAGGGGCAGCCAGCAGGCAGCCCTGACCCCGCCTGGCAGTCGGCCCCTCTGTAGCCCTTGCAATGGAGGCCCCAGCTCTGACCCTGGCAGCTTGCCACATCCCGGCCACGCTGTGCTTCCTGGTGGGCACACAGTCCTCTCAGGAAGGCTCTCGGCCAAAACGACAGAGAAACCACTCCAGCCAAAATGGTTTCCCCAAAAGGAAAACCGAGTCTCAACCTGATAGAGCCTCCAGATCCAGCTACCAATTCTGAACGCACCAGGACAGAGGGTAAAGAGCCAAGATCGCACCATTGCACTCCAGTCTAAGTAACAAGAGCGAACTCCAGCTCAAAAAAAAAAAAAAAAAAGGCACAAACCTAGACTAGTAAATCCACAGGGACAGAAAGCGGGATGGAGGCGGCCGGGGCTGGGGGCCGGGAGCTGGTGTTTCATGGGAACAGAACTTCCATTTGGGAAGATGGAAAGTTCTGGAGATGGAGGGTGGTGGTGATCGCACAACCATGTGAACGTGCTAACGCCGCTCAGCCGTGCACTTAAAAACGATTACCACGTTCAACGTATCAGCCACGTGTACTTCAACACAGTTTAAGAAACTCTTTAAAGTGGTACAAGCAAACGGCTGAGCCCAGGCCTTTCCGCGTGGGCTGCGGGAGGAAGCTGGAAGGGGGAGTCTGGGGGAAAGAGTGGGGAAGAGGCTGAGGGTAGCCGCTGCCTCCCAGGCCCTGGACCATGTGCCCACCCTGGGTGGAGGTGACTCCCAGCCTGCCCATGGGTGCTGGGCTTGCTGTGTGACTCACAGGGACAACAGGGCTGTGGGTGGGAGTGAAGGCCCTGAACCGCAGGGCGCTCTGCCGCTGTCCCTCCAGGAAGAGCATATGCCTACCCACCCGCTGCCAGCCACTCCACAACCCCAGCTGGCGGATTACGTGCCTGAAGTCTGGGGCAGTGCGCGGCACCACAGTGCTGTGGCACAGTTGACACCTGGCGACCGGGGTTCCCGACTCCAAAACCCTGGCCTGACACTGGGTGCTGGGGGGGGGGCGGGGTCAACTGGGGCCCTGGACATTGATGGCTCTCTGGTTTTGAAGGCTGGAAACTTTCTGTCCTGAAACCCTGATGAGGCTGCGGGTGGCCACTGAGGGCAAAGGAAGAGCACCCCAGGCGTAGACCCTGTCCCCACAGAGATACTCAGACCCCTCCTGGGCGGCCACAGGGTTCTGGCAGCTTCAGCATGGAGCTGGCTTCTCCTCTGCAGGAAGATATTCTCAGCTCTCCTCTCCTGTGCCCACCCACCTTGGGCTGAGCCCCTACCGGCCTCAAGAAGACCCTCCACAGCATGGCTCAGACCCCCATCCACCAGGACTACCGTCAATGAGCAGCCAGTTCAGAATTGGCTCTTGAGAAGGCACAACCTCCGAAAGGGGGCGGCCTCCCCCAGCTGACTCAGCCTCGAGGCCGCCCTGCCCACGGCTCTGACTCAGCGTGGGTGGGTGGCACCGGGCCGAGTGGGCGTTGATCAAGGCAGCCCGTTCCATCTGCCTACCCTCCGCCACACCCCACAAGCCTCAGCTACACAGTGAGAACCAGCCTGGTGGGGCGTGGGTCGGTCCCAGTGCTACCCCGGGGCACTGGCTCTGCCTGCTGGCTGGTGCAGACCACGCTGTCCCCAAGGCCTTGGCCTGCCCAGCCACATCCCCCAACATGGAGCCCACCACTGCCCTGCCCTTGCAGCCGGCCTTGCCCTCTCTCACTAAACCCTACCCTCCCTCAAAACAGCTGACTTGCTACCCCTACCCCTAACAGGTTTTCACCCTCCAGAGGCACTGCAGGGCCTGGCCACAGGGTCATCTAAATGGGACTTGAGATGGCGTTTGGGAAGTGAGAAGTTTGATCACAGGCAAGAAGCCCTTTAAGGCAGCCTTCAGCAGACTTTCCAGCAAGCTCTGCTCCACTCTGAGGTTCTGTCGCCGCCCCCACCGCCGCCGCCGCCTCCTCTGCTGCCGCCACCTCCTCCGCAGCTGGAGCATGAAGTACTTTTCCTCTAGTTACGCAACGTGCATCTACCAGGGCTTCCTGCTCCTGCTCCCAAGAACCTCCAGTGACCTCTGATGCTCCTTCTCCAGAAGGGGCTGGAGTGGGCCAGCCAGATTTGGGGGTACCCTGGGGCCTGGGGAGGGCACAGTGGCCATGGCCAGGACACAAGCTGCAGCCATGGAGGAGAGCATGGGGTGTGCTGTGCTCCAGCCTCACCTGGCTGCTGGGCTCCTCTCCAACCAAAGGGACTCGGTGGGGAAGGCACGCTCAGAAACAGGTGGGCTTGTGCCAGAGAGAGACCTGGAGATAAACACCCACCCAGAGCAACACCCAGGCCTGGGCCGAGGCTGCCCACAGGATCCTGCCCCACTCCTCCCCCAGGGAACTGCCAGGGATGCTGCCTCCAGGCTTTGAGTGGCCTGTGATGGGGTGCCTGACTTGGTCCCGGACCTCATGTACAGGAGCGCACAGAGCTGTGTGGTGCCCAGGACCCCTTAAGTGGGGCAGCCTCAGGAATGTGTGCGAGGTTCCACAGGGAGACCCCCAACACACTGCATCATCAGGCTTCTGTTCCTTTCCTGGGGACTTTCCTAGTGGTGGCCAGTCCAGAGGGCATGGTGGGCAACTGTGGCCCGAGCCCAAGGCCAGAGAGTGCTCAGCAGGAGATCCACAAAAGAAACTTAGGCAATGAGAAAACGCAGGCCCAGGGGGCTGCCCAGAGCCACAGCCTCCACCCGGGTTGCCGTCTAAACAGGACTTGGGGAAAGGGAAGGGGCTGCTTGGCGAGGTCACTCCAGGACAGCAGTGTAAACCAGGCTGCAGGGCCCCCTGGGTCTCCTCGCCCTGAGAACGGCACCTTCCGAACCCAGGCTCCTGGAGCCCATCCAGCTGTCCACCCTACAGGCGGTTTCTGGGTTTTTAGGCTATGGTACTTTCTCACGCTTATGCTCGGTCCCTGGGGCAGAGTACTGCGATGGGCACTGGCCTCATTAGCGGGGTCTGGCAGCCTCCTGGCCGGGGAGGGAATGGTGTTTTATTTTTAAAGCTTCCATTTACTCAAAGGAGCCCCATAAATGACTGGGAGTGGCACAGAGATCACAACAGAACCCCAGGGGAAGTCTGGGGAGAGAAACTCTGGCTGCACAGTGCTCCGACAGGGCCCCCCAAATCCTGGGGACAGGGAGGAACGATAGTCCCTGAGTTGCAAGGCACAAAGGCCCACCCCCAAGAGACGAGGGAGCTCACACCTACCGCCTCGGAGCCTGTGTCAGCACGTGACACACGGCTGCCACTCTGTCTAGGAACGGCAGCACCTCTCCTCACCTCCTTTTCCAGGACACTAACTCCTCACAGAGAGAGGCCACGACTGCAGGCTAGATCCTGGAAATCTAGGCCAGGTGGGAGCTTAATCCTACAGGGGCCGGTGCAGGGACAGGGAAGAGAGGAGGTGGCGGCCAGCGCGGCAGGGCCCGGCCACTCCGACCTGCTGTCGGATGGGGGTGCCCCATCCGAGCTGCGTGGCAAGTACAGGGGACAGGGCTGGGCCTGGCCCGCACCTCCGACCTGGCAGCCCACCATTTGCAACGGCCCCGAGGCTCCCCATGGGCGGGCAGTCCCAGTGGCCGGCCCCCTCCAGTCCCCGCCTGCCACTGAGCCACCGGCTGTGTGCTTAGCTGGGTGCCATGGCGACAGCGCTATGGAAACACCCAGCTGAAAGCATTTAAGACCCACAGAACGTTCCCACTGAGTCACCCTGGGCTGAACAGCCCCGTGATCAGAGAAGACAAAAGTGATCAGAACACATCTCTGCAGCATGCGGTGACTCAGAGTGGGGGAGGAGCCTTCTAGAAAAAACCAAGGCGGCTTCGGTTTACCTCATCTGCTACCGCAGCCGCCGTTTCCCACGTCCCTCAAAAATCGCATGTAGCCCCCAGGTCCCCTGCAATGTATGAATGAGAACGTAATTCTCAGCCTCCAGCTGTCACCATGGGCGGACAGGCCAGCTGTG